AACCCAATCTGTGGAGAATCCGTTGAACAGATTTCGGGCTCATTCCACCAACTTTGGCCACTTCTGCAGTCGTTAATCTGGGATCCCTTTCGATGCTCCTCTTGATAGCCCTTTTTGTCCTCTCCGATGGACCTGGACGTTGCTCAGTTGTTTCCTGAACTGCACAATGATTCTGTTGACTGTCGAAAGCGGGATTGCCAAATTTTGCGAAATTTGCTGCTGACTTATTCCACCATCTGCTTGACCAACTATCTTTCCTCTAACAAAATCTGACAATTCGGGAGAACCTTGAGTTCTAGGCATGTTGTAGCACAAGATAAATAGTGTGCGGACCATTTTCATTTATATAGTGCTCTGTGAACCCAAATTAGTTAGCATAAATCAGTTAAATGACGAAAAATTAGGTGTCTATTTATTTGTGACCACTCAGTGTACACCATTACCCTCATCTACATAAGCAGTAACCTTTTCAGAGAATGTCAAAAGATTTGTAAGGAAATATTTTTCCTTATTTATGTTGACTAACCAATAAAATTCTAAACTTTGTTAAATGGCTTTTCAAAAGATATTTTAACAGACTTTCCAAAACTTTTCCCACAACAGACGTAAGACTAACTGGTCTATAATTTATCACCTCCCTTGAAAAGAGGAGTGACATTACCTAACTTCCAATCCTCTCGAACCTGTCAACTATTCAAGAACTTACAAAAAATAGTAGCAAGTGGCTAACATATCCAATCTTTAACCTCCTTCAAAACCCTTGGAGAAATATTATCTGGCCCAGGAGTGTTATCATGCTTTAAATTTCCCAATTTTTTCTTAACAAGCTCAGAATTAATGCTGTCATCTTGTTTGATGTTGTTTTTATCTATTAACTGTTCAAGATTTGGAATACTGCTTAAGTCTTTGTTAGTAAAACTGAAGAAAAAGCAAAATTTAATAACCCAGCCATCTCATAATCATCAGATACAAGCCTTCCTTAATCATCCCTTAAGGGTCCTACTCCCATCCTAACATTTTGTTTATCCTTAATGTATTTAAAGAAATCCTTACTGTTAATTTTTACATTTTTAACCAACCTAATTTCCTGTTTCACCAACTTTCTTGATCTTCTAAATCTCCTGTCATACCAGTCAATTTAAAGTTCTTAAATTTATGATGCTTTTCTTTAATTTTATCTCTTAAACTCTTTGTGAGCCAACCTGGTTTTTTACTTGCAGCTACTCATTTCTTTCTATAAGGAATATCTTTACATTGAATATTTAAAAACTTATCTTTCAAAATTTCCCACATCTGATCAGTGTCTCCAGATAACTCAGCTGCCCAATTCACAGCAGATATATCTTGTTGCATCCCTTCAAAATTTGTAACCAAAATATCATTATTCCTTATCTCCATATGCAGCAAAACATTGAACCTAATAAAGTAATGATCACTTGCACAGGGTCTCTAAAAATGTGCGAGTACAAAAATATATATTAAGAAAAATATCATCAATATTGCAATTAATCTCATTAATTACTCCTGGGGCCTTTTATGTATTTACATAGAAAATTATTGATGTTACAAAATGTTTTCATTACTTCTTTACACTGAGAGTTGTAACAGATAATTAAAAGAATAACATTCATTAACATTATGCAACATATGAAACCTAGTAGTAATGAATAGTATAAAAAAACAAATCAGCAATTTGAAGGTTAACAGACTATTATGAAAAAATAACTACAAACAAATGTTAAAAATAGCATTTAAGTACTTTAGTTGGATTATTGCAAGTTTTGTATATGTGCATTTCACACCTATAAAGTTTTTATGAATTAGGTGGCTGGGCTGTTATACGTTTTGTAGATGAGCATTTCACACCTATAGAGTTTTTATGAATTAGGTGGCTGGGCTGTTATACGTTTTGTAGATGAGTATTTCACACCTATAAAGTTTTTATGAATTAGGTGGCTGGGCTGTTATATGTTTTGTACGTGTGCATTTCACACCTATAAAGTTTTTATGAATTATGTGGCTGGGCTGTTATATGTTTTGTACGTGTGCATTTCACACCTATAAAGTTTTTATGAATTAGGTGGCTGGGCTGTTTTATGTTTTGTACATGTGTATTTCACACCTATAAAGTTTTTATGAATTAGGTGGCTGGGCTGTTATATGTTTTGTACGTGTGCATTTCACACCTATAAAGTTTTTATGAATTAGGTGGCTAGTGTGCTATGTTTTTAGTCTTTTTCTTTGTTATTTCTAACAGTTTTTGCTTATGTGGTATTTGAATATACAGTGAGTTTTTATCTTCTTACATAATTACAATATTTATTCTAAATCCTTAATATTTGTACTGAATATGTGCAGGTGGTCAAGAAAACTGTTAAAATTATCTTGTTTCAAGTTACCTTTTCCCTTTGTTCTATCTGTTATGGGCTTTGAAGAACATCACTTAAAGGATGTCTACAGTAGAGTCCTTCGTTGGTTGTAATGAGAACGACTAGTCACATGGGTAGTTCTAGTTATGTTGGATCAATGCAAGATTTCTTTTAAAACAGTCTGCTATATGGTTCCATCTTGAACAGTTGAATACAGAATAAACAGTAGAAGTGATTGTCCAGCATAGTAAGAACTGAAAGTGTACACACATGGTTTGCATTACATTAACTAATAAAGATTATACCATTTGTGTCTGAAAGTTCTAACAATAATTCAGTTCACTTGAATATACCACATTTACTTATAAGTTCATTTAGGTTTACAGTATTAATAAGCTGTGTGAATCTGGAGTAAGAGTTTTTATGAGTTGTGAAAGTAATGACCTACTCTGTTTTTCTTTATACTTTGTTTCATCAAATATTATTGGTTATAAAGTTTAACATAATTCTGAATAACATTATGTTTTACACTCAAGAGATTACTTTGCATCATTAGCTTCATACATAGATTTAGCATTAACCACAGCCGAGATGGACCAATAGTTCCCATGCTGTCCTAAAAAGTTATGTTAAATTTCCTACGCTGGCTAAACATCATTAGATTTTATAAGGATTACAACTAAAAATATCATTAACACCAAAGGTACCCAACTTATGAGGTAATGCAATCTAACGATTACAGGTTTTCATTTTCTTGAGTATTGATTCACCACAATAAGTCAGTAATTTTATTATACAGAATTGGCTTTATTATTCTATATAGGGCTGGATTCTTTACAGTATGTGTCAGTGACTTGTTGGCAATAAATTTCAACAATAAACGGACAGCACACAACCTACTTGTTTTAAAATAATATATTAAAAACAGGTCAAATGTATGTACATAAAAATATTGTTACGCTCTTGGTTACCACAGTTGAATCTAGAGCTTTAAATAATTATCTTTTTTGTCAAAAAATCACACAGGCTGGTTCAGTTACTTTAGAACCCAGTTGACAAGATGAATTATTCTTCTCTACTCTGTTATTACAATACAGTCTATGATTATATCACTTTAAAAGTCACCACTATACACTCTTTATAACTAAAGTTTCAAACAGTCTAGATCTATATCTCTCAGTAATTGAACTTCCTTTCACTAAATTAACTTCTTCCACTCTGTATCTGCACGTATTTATAACATACGACAGAAAAATGTAGAAATATCTAGCCCTCTAGTAGCAACAATATTACATATAACGAGAAAACTTAATACTTGCAGATTATCAGATAAAACAGAATTTCTTCACTATTATAAGGCTTTGTGGACGGAGCTCATATATTCACTTTCATTGTTCACAAATAAGGTTTCTCATTACACATTTTAAACAAAATTCGTTAAAAATCTTTACAAATTTCTTATGATTCCAGGTAAACCTGGTAAAACACCGTGAAAAAAATAATAAAAACTTTACTATGTACAACTGAGAAAAACTTGTTTGAAAGTTCATTCAATTGTGTGGGAAATTCAACAATATCCTTAATACTTATTATGGGTTTAAACGTTTTACAGAATATCACAATCTTTTAAAAACTTTTACTCCTACACTTTTATTTCTTTGGATATTATCCATGAAATAGTAAACTGGTTTAGAGCACCATTGGTTTTAGCTCCTGTTAGTTTAAATTCTTATTATATATAGTTAATACTAGCTATACAACAGTTCCATATATATATTATGACATTATGTCATTACTATATTTATATTAGTTTTTGATACCTTATTTCTTTATCATTTCTCCGAAAGGGGGTTTAAGGTCCTGTGGAGGGGTAACCTGTTTTAAACACTTGCACCCCTATACAGTAGTGTTGTCAGTCAGTCATTCAGTAGACACTCAAATGACATCACATTAAGGGATACTTAATATTGCAATTTCTACTGTCGTGAGTTCAGTAAAACGTGTGCGTGCCATGAACCATGATAAGAATTATGCACTCTGAAGGCTACAACACAGCCTGACATATGAACTTCAAAAACAAGAAATAAAAAACTTTTACTCTGAATTTTGGTTATATTTACTCTAGAAACAGAATGCATTAGGGGACCTTGCACAAGTAGATCTAGTATTAATATTTATTTTAACCTTCCTTTCAAAGTCATTATTATTACTATGTGGAAGACTTATAAAATTTTTTTTAGCTTGTGTTATTTCTTTTATTTGAATGCACAAAGTTTATAAAATGAAAAAGCAGTGCTGTGTATTCAAAGTAATTAAAGCTGTTAGGTGATCTGCATAAACTACTCACATGAGAGGTTACGTAGAGTTTTGATGGCAGTGTAGTGTCTCAGCAACTGTGAGGTTAAACCAAAGTGGGTTAAGCCCAATCCCCAACACATGGTACCTATTAAACACCTCTAGTACAAAAGACACTCTGAGCTGAATAGTGTGATCAAAAATGTTCTGGACTACAGTTTAGCATCAGCGTAAACAGTTTCACTTGTTAAATTCTGAAAGACATTACTCATACTGGAAGATAAGAATTAAACTAAGACATTTTACAAACATATTGGTGTACAGTGGCATAGTGAGCCAAATTTTCATCCAGGGCAGAAAGTAAAAGTGCTGCCTTCCATGCTCCATTTCACATTCAATGGAATGGAAACTGTTTCTAAAGGTAAGAAGAATAAAGAAAAAATAATTTTCCCAAGGAGTATCACAGTAATTAATTATGAATATTTTTAAAGTCAGTCCTTTAAATAACAAATAAAAATCTTGCATTTTTAGAGCCTTCAATTTATCATGTGAAGCACGAATTAACTGATAAATAATACAACAGATGAATTAACAGACAGACCACAGATAGTGCAAACTATATAATACACCGGTTCTGCTAATATCAGTAAGTAGCATGTGTAACAGGTTTTAGATATGTACTTTCCTGGCCTTCAGTGTGGCAAAATCATGAATTATGTCATCATAGTTGATTGTTACCGAACTTTCCTTTCAATGGAAATGATGGTTAGGCTGCTGAGCCTAGACTGAGTCATGGTGGATCTTAGATAAGTTTGAGCTCGAAAAGCTTCACTCACAGCTTTCTATGAACACACACATTGTGAGGAATAAGTGCAATGCAGTTGTCAAGTTTGGCACGTGTAGGCTCACTTCACGAACCACTTCAGGAGATCTAGCATGTCCCAATTTGCCACATAATTCCCTGTGATGTTCTTGAAGATTTTGATATGGTGGTGAAGTAACTGAATCTCTTCTGCAAAGTTGATGGCATTCAACTCAGTGTAGACCATAGTAAGGGAATGAATTTGGTTGCTAATTTCTCGATTTTTTCAACATTCAAGAGATGTTGCAAGTTGAGAAATTCGAAGCAAAGGTTTAGATGATTCAGATGTCTCAATCATCTAATGATTACACATTTAAGTTAGTTAATAATCTCCAGTTACTCTCTTCTGATGTCTTCTTGTAGATTCAAACTCTGGTCATTTGACTTCTTTTTTTTTTTTCCTACCATTTTCTGGCACTCGGTTGAGATGTTTATTGCAGAACACAATTCCACAGCTTTATTTTGAGCCTGGACATCCAAGAGGCCCCATTCTTCACTAAAGAATAATGAGAGAACATTCATTTTTTGCTGCACATTGATCCAACCCAAGACCACATTCGTGTAGAGTTTTCCGAGTTTCATTGATTTCCTTCAGCACAGGGTTAAAAAAATACAGATATGCAATGAAATTATCAGTGACTCCATCTCGGGGGTTCTTTGAGTGCATCAATCACCCCCCTCCACATTGCACTCAATGGTAGCAACAGCATCATGCTGTGCACTCCATCGTGTTTTGGAGACTTACCCGAGACTATTTGTGATGTCCAATCTATGAGTAGAAGATGAAAAGAAGTCTCCATCACAAAAAAGTTTGCAGTATTGGGCATTGTTTCTGTAGCATTCATGCATACTAGGCTCAAACTGTGGTTGTTGCATGGAACAAAAACAGCATTTGGAATGACAATCAGAGTTTGCTGCTGGACTCCACAGTGCACTCTAACCATTGTAGTTGCATTATCATATTCCTGACTATAACAATCTTGTTGGTCCAAGCCATCGTTTTCCAGCTTGTTGATTATTTGATTCATTTTTGCTTCTACAGTCTTTCCTTCAAATGGAATGAAGTCGATGAATGACTCCTTCATTTCCACTTTACCATTGAATGATAAGTAATGGATAATGTGGGGCATCAGATCAACATGAGATAGATCTGTTGTAATTTCAAACATGATGGCAAAGTATATGGCTGCATGTATTTTTCTGATGGTGGTGAATCACATATTACAGCCAAGAGGAATGATGATTTCATTTTGCACTTGTGGAGACAGATATGAGATGTTTTTGGTTGTTGCCAGTTGGATTTTCGTTAAGTGTTCCTGAATGAATGAGTCATCTTCCACAAAAGATGCACCAGTTCAAGAAATTTACTTAAGTTGGTGCCATCATACTTTCTCTATGTCCCCTGAAGTGAAGGTTTTGTTTTACTAGGAACATAATGCACTCATAGAACAACTCAAAAATTCTCTGTCTAATGCCATTCTTCTCCCGATGTTGGATAGAAAGATCCTTTCATTGTTCAGAAGTGCAGATATAAACAGAGTTGTTTTCATGTTCTTTAATGCAAGGGTTTGACTTATGCCAAGCTCTGAATCCTCCTTCCTTTCCAAAGGCATTATTTTCAGTATTAAAAGAGTCTGCAACAGAAGCAGTAAAAGAGTTCTTTTTAAGAGAGAAAACAAAATCCAGGATTTAAGCAGCTTTTAACCACTTTCCAGTTTCTTGAAGAACCAATCCTTTGACATGGACTGATTTTCATTGTCAAGATGGAATGGTTCATATTGATTCTGTAGAGCTGTCTGACATTGCTTAATAAGCTCAATCCTTAGTCTATCCTACATCAGGCAAGGCCAACTATCCACATCACAAAAGACAATTGGATCCAGTCCAACACATACCTCATTGTCTCCCTGCATCTGTGTGTCCAGCCTGGCATGGCCAGGTTGTTAGGGTGTTTGACTCGCAATCTGAGGGTTTGAATTCGTGTCTCACCAAACATGCTCACCATTTCAGCCATGGGAGATTATAAAGTGATGGTCAATCCCACTATTCGTTGGTAAAAGAATAGCCCAAGAGTTGGTGATTACTAGCTGCCTTCCCTCTAGTCTATCACTACTAAATTAGGGACAGCTAGTGCAGATAGCTCTCATGTAGCTTGGCGGACATTCTGAAACAAAGATTTCAAAATGCTGGTGCAGACGTTGTAAACATAAACTGTAAGAAAATCATGAACTGCCGTTTCTTCAACATAATTTATTTCTCCACATGCATAAACTGCTTATTATTCGAACATATTTTGCTTTAAAATGTTTTAATTTACCACAGGGAGTGATAATAGGTGAATATCACACCATTTTATCACTAAAAGACAATTCCTGAAGTACATATATTAAATACTAGTATTTTCTTAACATTTTCCAAAAGGTGTCTAGTTGACGAAGTTAATAAACCCATATAAATGAAAATTGTATAACTGAAATGTTTTAAGTCTATTATTTGGAGTTAAGTACAAAGCTACACAATGGGCTCTTTGTGTTCTGCCCATTATGGGTATCGAAAACCCGATCTCTAGCGGAGTAAGTCCACAGACATCCACTGTGCCACTGAGGGGCAAAACGTTTTAAAGTATTTTACTGGGATAGTTCATTGCTGGCAATGCATTGACTTGAAAACCTCGACTAAGCAACTAGAAAAGGAGGGGTGAAGGGTCAATAAATGAGCAATGTCTTCATCTTTCATTACAGTAATCCCCTAGTGGCTCAGAAATAAGACTGAAGGCTTATAATGCTAAAATCTGGGTTTAGGTACTTGTGGTGAGCACAGCCCAAATAGCCCATCTGTGTGCCTACATTGCAAATACTGGATAGGTCTGAGTTGACAGATTCAAACATATTTTAGGCCATTATTATACAATATAAATAAACAGTAATTATGAACATATTTACAGGCAAACAGAAAGTCAAAATATAATCAAGTAACATTACAGGAATTTCACACCAAAATAGAGGAGACAAGAGTTCAATTATTTAATTTTTACATATATTTCATGATAAAAAGTAAGAATTTACAAAACAATTGTCATATAAAAGATATGTGGTAATCAAATTAAAGCCTGTGCACTATTTTATTCTATAGTGAAAACAATTTATTTCTGCTGATTCATAAGATTTATAAAAGTGCTTTTCTCACCTTAAAATAAATTAATCAGATAAGAAAATTCTTTGTAATCCATAAAAACACTAATACATATATTGTTGAAAACTTAAATCGTGATCCAGGTCATCATGCATCTTTTGGTTAAAAAATAAAAATGATTTATATATATATATATATATATATATATATATATATATTCACAGTAAATAAATCAAAAGTATAATAAAAACTAGAGTGAAAATAAGACATAATGTTAGGCTTATTATATTTTTTGACACTATATTTTTAATATAGTAACTTGATTTTAAAAAATTAGAAGTGCATATATAATAACAGTATTTCAACCACAAAATATGCATCATATCCACTGCTGCTAATGCATTTTGCTCAATCCAGAGTTTTTCGAGCCAGCTGGAATACAACTAACTCAGTTATGGTCAGAATACTATTTATATAAGCCATTTTTTACAACAACAACTGTTATGATGTGTAAGCCTTTTACAACCTGGCGAAACATGATTATAATTAATTACATGCCAGATAATATGTCTTATGACAAATATAATTAGCTATAATTATACTTCATGAGCTTGTAAATGGTGTTCACACCAAAACAGTCATTTCTATCGTGACGATACCAAGTATGGTAATTTAATTTTTTACTACTTCCCCAGCTCACATTTGAGCCCAAGATCTGTTGCAAGTCAGGCAAATGTTGTACATCATATTCTTTCATTATTAGAAACAAGGCCCCACATCAGACACCAGTTTTTCTTGTGGTAGTTTAAATTTTATTTTTTTATTAATACTTCTTTAGATTCAAATCAGAGACCTCTCACACCAGGAGAATGCTGTTCCAACTGCTATAAATGATTAACCCCTTTAGAAATTGCTAGTAAGACACTCTATACAGCTCAAACTTACACAAAAATAAGAATTCACACACACAAAATTTCTTTTTTCATACAAAAGATGCGAGACTCTCAAATTACAGAAAACTGGGATGAGTGAAAATAAGTCATTCACAGGGGTATGCTCCAAAATCTTTCCTGTTTATCAATATTAAAGGAAACAATTGGTATAATTACAAAAAACAAATATCTCAAAATTTGCTGATGCTAACTTTTGGAGAAAACTCTTTAATTCACAATAGCCTTTGTTAGTGGATAAAAACTTACATTGAAATGTTTTAGCTATGAGAACTTGGAAAGGCTGGTTTATTCTGTTAGAACAAAGCTAGTGTTGTAAAGAAAGAAGAGTATTAAAAATTTGATTTGATTATTGATAAAATTCAAAACACTTTGTTACCACAGTTTACTCAGTTCAGTCATTCATTAATGGCCAAATTACAAAGTGTCATTATGTAGAATATCGTAAGTTCAAATTATTTTATTTCCAGACAAAATTAACATGTTTACTTCCCTCATAGACTTAAATATTCCATTATTCCTAGGAGATGTCACTTAATGTTTTCAGTAAACAAATATATTAATAGCCTTATTTTTACATCCTTCTTAATGTATGAATTATGTAGGTTTTAATCAACATGTGTTTTAAATTAAAAATTCAGAGTTATCTACTCATAATTCTACATAACATTTTCAGTGCCAGTACCAAGCATAACAACAACACTTTTGCAATATCAAATAACGTTAAAAAGGTTTTATTTATTACATGTTGACAACAGGCTATTGTGGAATTAACTTACAGTACTGGTTTTCGTCAAACATAATTTCTAGCTAATACAAACTTTTTCTCTCTAAAATCCACTCTTGCCTCTCCAGATGGCGTTGTTTCATGTATCAAAATCGTAAGCCTAATAATATGACATACACTAAGACTATTTTAATTATTATCGATAGTAGAAAATAAACAGAAATTGAGGAAGTTAAATACTGAATTTATATTATTCAAACGTTAAAAAATGCCAAGCATTAACAATGGGGCAAAGATTTCTGGAGTTTTTTACTATACGAGTAGTTTTTAGTTAGTACAAAGGCTACCAAAACAATTTAACTTGTATAGGTTAGTCTTGTCACTACAACTTGTTTGGTGCTAAAAATAATCTGGTTTCCAATTGCAGTTAGTTATGACTAGTTAACGTTGGGTTAATGCAGAAAACCAAACCCTATTTAAAACTTATTTTCAAGGCAGCTTCTAAAATATTATATTAACATGCAATTATATTTAAGCTACGTAGAATGGATCATACTATATTTTTACATTCTTGTTCAATGTAAAACTAAAATTCATCACAAATCCTGCATAACTGATATATACTATAGATATTGATCATGTCTACTCTAAACCTACGTTAAAAATAAAATGAAACATAATATTCATTCTCGGTTCATGTACATCATATTAGTAGGATTAAGTATACAAACTATTTTCATGATTACCTAGCTCAATTTATGAAACACTTAAAATGAATGTTAAATCTTCTCTACTCTCCAAATTATTAATTCTCAAACCTGAAGTCATTCTATCAAGAATATTTATATGAGTCGTTTAGGCGGAGCAACCTGATAGGTGGGAAGTCATTGACCAATCACGAGCTTCTTTGTTCCTCCAATAGAGAACGTTCTCATGTGGCGACTCATTGATTAGATTACTTGCTTGTCACCGTATTCTTATGGGTGTGGGGCAGAGACAGCGCATCAGCCCTCAGGTTAAACTTGTAGAGAGGTGTTTGAGACACCTTTAAGAGAAGTTTCTCGTGGTGGATATCGCCAACTTGAAAAGTTTAGTTTATTTCAAAAGTGGCTTGTTAACTAATCAGATAGCAGCGTGGGTATTTTAAACGGCTGGGAACAACAAAAAACTTAAACTAACATCATCGTAAGTATGAAACCATGGCAGATCAAGGTCTCAGGTGCACACGAAGAAAACAGCCAACTCCTCGTCGAAACGGTAGGCATAAAACATTTTGATATAGCAGTAGCATTTTAGTTTAATTTATATTTATACAAATATTTAAATCAGCCATCCAAGTTATACATTTTTTGTTTTGTTTTCAGCTAATTTTTATTTCAAGCATTCATAAAATAATTTTATCTGCAAATTATTACCAGTTCTCGAAGTTATCAAAAACTAGCGTATTTTTCTCTTTAAATTTGGTAACGTTTACATTTAAGTGCTATATTTCTGTTACTGGGAGTACTGTGAACCAGTAGACAATACTTAGTATCACCCGTTATACATATATATTTTGTATGTATAATTTCTTCACTGCCTTTTTGTAGCAAGATTGTGTATGTTTTGACTGTCTCGAAATGATCACATGGATTTAGTAAAATTAAAACCGCCCTTTTCAAAGGCTTAACTGAAATATGAATGATCAGTCGTCGATATCCTAGTCGCTCTCTGTACTAGAGCACGTATATATATATATATATATATATATTTGCACGTGATGATTTCACATCGGCTTTGAGCGCCCCCATGCATAAGGCTAAGGTTTGTAAAGTTCCCGAGTATCACTGAGCTGGTTGTGCTTTTGCCGAGAGCACTTTTCTGAATCGCGTAGGCCTTCAGCCTGGCTTCTCAGGAATGTTCCTTCCTGCATCAATACGTCTTGAAATGTGTTTAACGTTTTCCTCTTTATCTGTGAGATTCCGAATGGGCGAAAAAGAAGTGAACCAATACGATCACACATATTCTTCCCCTGCCAACAATATGATACTTTAACTCATGGTACACGAGTAGTACGATCCAAGGTTATCGTATGTATGATAATATAGATAGATTTAAGTAATTACGTGTCCCACTTGAAAAACTGAAAACTTCGAGTAAGTTACATTATAGCAATATACAATGGTAAAACCGTTAAGAAATGTTCGCATACTTTTATAAATACGTTATCTGCACATTGTTAATGCTGCTTTATACTAACATATAATAAAAAAATGGATTTGTTGAAATTTATAATCAGAACAGAAGCGCAAATAGAATATTATGAACACAGCTAGCTATAAACACACATATATATGTATAATATGGGAAACATTCATAGGCTGTCGAAAACATTTAATTAAACAGAAAATTATACGATAGGAAGTGACATTTCAAAGTTTCACTTACCAATAATGTAAATTTCTATCATACAGGACCAGTCAGTTCACAGAAAAGGTGAGAAGGGGGGGGGGGTAAAAAAAGATTGACCTCGCTTGCTCTTACCCTCTTCCAATTTAGCCGAGGATCCTACGCTATGACAAAAATTTGCGTGTGTGTGTCAATTCGGCCTGACTAGAAATGTCACACAGAAACTGTCATTTGGGGCCTACTTCCGAGTTTCAAGGGTCAGATGCCCTGTCATCAGTGGTGGACATTTAGGGGGCAGTTGAACCCCACACTTTAATTTGTCGGAAATTATATGGATCCACGCCGTTAACCTTTTGTACACCACTTTATATGTTTTATCTAGAATTCCAATATGTATTTTTGGCCCAGCTACCCAGATCACGTACATGTACGTAGTGCATGCATATATTAGCCAGCAAGTTCTTCATGACTCTGTGGTTGGGTGTTTTTTTTCAAACTTCAACTATGCAAATCTCAGATTATGCGAAATTATTACCGAAATGTATTGCCGTATATAAAATTACCAGATATCTTTCAAATTATTTAATCACCATCAAGCATGCTCTAATATCATATCCCACCTATTTAGGCCCATAAACGTTAACCTCCATAAATATACAACATTTTACAGTTTCAGTGAGTCGGATTTTCGATGGGTCTTATCCCATCACCAAATTTTGAAATGTCCGCCACTGTCTGTCACCCTCCCCCCACCCTACCCCAATCACCGCCCTGTAATCAACTGTAGGAAAGATCTGCCGGGAGAGAGAGAGGGGGCAAAAA